AGTCACGATTAAACTCCACACGAAAATCTGCCTCGACGGGGAATCGAACCCCGGTCCACGAATTTCCGGTCCTCTGAACCGGGGTTCGATTCCCGGTCGAGGCAGATTTTCGTGTGGAGTTTAATCGTGACTTCTACTTTCTACGAAACTTACGTTACTCACAAACATCCTTCAAGTTCTGGGAATATCGACACATGGTCAACTGTTGCTCTGCGTTGGTAAAGCTGGATTTTACGAAGAAAACTGGCAACCTTATCCTGAGCAGTTAACATATTAACCATATTTCCTAGCAAGCTGAGGTTCAGTGCATTTATTTCTCCGAAGAAATCGGCAAGATATGCTAGTTTGGAAATAAATACCTTGTCTGTTATCATGACGTGTAACCCGTTCACCTTACCTTTATGCAGCTCCTTCCTTTCAAGAAACATTGTAATTTCTTCTCGAAGCTCGAGCACTCGGTGCAACACGTTACCCTGTGATAACCAACGCCCTTCCGTATGCAATAACAACACGTCGAATTTGTCTCCAAATTCATTGCACAACGTTTTGAAAACGCTTGTATATGTCACACTACCGCGGATGACATTTATTATTTTCACTACGTTGGTTAACATGTCCAGCAAAACAGGCGGAAGTTTTCACTGCTAAAGCAACATAACGATGTGCTATGCAGTGGCTGAAGGTACAGTGCAGAGCAAATTTTTTGACTAACGCTTGGAATCCAGAACGGACGCCCAACATGGATGGTGCTCCTTCTGTACAGACACCCACCAATCTCAGCCACTGTAGATCTTTTCCCTCGACAAAATCCTTCACTGTTCGGAAGACACCTTCGCCAAGTGTAATTGTGCTCAATGATTCTGAGAACAAGTACCCTTCTTTGAAACGGTCTCCTTTTATGTACCGAACATAGACCAGTAGCTGGGAACAGGATGCAAGGTCGGTCGACTCATCTAATGGTATTGCGAAGAAAGGACTTGAATTTATTTCGTTGAACACCATATTCAAAATATTCTTGCCCATATCCACGATACGACTTTTGATTGTGTTGTTATAAAGTGATATCATGCTTATCTTTTCTGAATGTTGCTCTCCAAGAACGAGCTTCAATATCATTGTTTATGAAATCCTCTCCTATATTAGGCGGTTTCTTATTTTTGTCGGTTCGGAGAACAATGCGATACGACGCTTCAAGACCAACTTCAGTTGACTGAAAAAGGGAGCCCGATGTATCCAGGCGGGAACTATTGAGCGCAGCTTCTTTCCGTTTGACGAATGTAATGTCTTTTCCTACAAACTAAGAATGACTTCGGTCGAAGTGGTCTTTAAATTTTCTGGGTTTCATGCTCTCCCACGTGAGCACTTTGCTGCACAAAACACACTGCGGCTTCTCCACATTTCTATCGACAAAATTGGTGAAGCCCCATTGCAGTAAAGCTTTCTTGTAGGACCGCTTTTTTCCAGAAGACATGGTTCCTGCAAAAAATTAGGCAACTAAATGATATAAATATAAATATGAATATTTTCGTGATTTAATGTAGGTGACATTACCGTAAATCTTTGCAGATACCCTCATTATTGTCGATATCAAAACCATTGAATTAAATCACTCACCTGCTATGGTTTCTTGTCAAAAACAACTGTAGATTAATGTGTTCAACCCAACACCCAATGGTCACTGGCTTCCAATCCGCTGTTTCTGCCTTTTTTGTGACCCAGAACATCGTGTTCTGCGCACTTTCAAACGCCTGCTGTTGTCCCCATTCAAGGCATCATATGACCCTATCGTGTGTGATTCATGATCAAACATGAACAGATATCAGTACCTTCTCATGTGTTGCATTCCTCCATTCCAAGTCATGCCTGCATGATAACTTGACACCACCACGCTGTATCGAAACGTGAAGAACACTAATCGCGCGTTTTGACCCATCTAACCTGGAAACAATAACGCGTCACCTTGCCTGGTCGTCTGACCAAGGCTCAATTACTAGTTTGCAATCGACTTCATAATTCGGCCGGGTGAACGACTGCCTGACGAAAGCCACAGGAGCCGATAGAGGTTTCATCTGGTTGCAGGGACTAATACCTGGTCAATGATGGCTAATCCAAAGTGCATGGGAAGTTAGCGACATGTTTTGAAACGGACGATTTTGGTATTAAACTTGTTTAGCGACCGATTGATGACCCAATCCTCATACTAATATTTACCCCCTGCAAAATGTTATTTTACCCCTTTGGGGTAATTACCCCCAAGTTGGGAACCCCTAAATTAGAGTGTCAATAGTTAAGTTTGCAAAGAATCACTATGGGAAACGTCAGTAGTCTACTGCCCAACATTTGACTTACTAGTTATAACCTATTGCCGCAACGTATATTTCAGAAGAAAACGGTTGCTTCGGTCAAATCGAGACTCCGGGTAGTTTCGGTGATCTTAAGGAACACGCTGAGTCTTTAACGCCTACTGAACCCTGATGCATCTTTTGCTGCCCCATGTACCATCAAAGCTCTGCATGCTGTCACTTTCTGAAGGGTTTATGAGTGGTTTTAAGTAACCGCTAATGTTGGTATCCTTGATCCAAACGTGATAGCATGATGAGCACCAGTAGCCTGCCTTTTCGCAACCAATCGTTAAATTGCGACCTAGTCTTGGCCATCTCCGTGGTTGCATGTGGGTGATTAAAGGAAAAGCACTGAATGACTATGCCATCTCACAGCGTAATACATCGAGTATTTTAACTATTCGAGTTTAAATAGTACGATATGAGGACGGGTGTTGAAGGATCACATCATTTCGTGCTCCCTGATCACGTGCGAAGGCGCAACATACTAAACGACCACTGAATCAATTAGTCTGAGTGCTGACATGAAGAGTAAAGGGCCACAGAAACTCACAGGCTACAGCAGAATCAGAAGTGATAGGACAAGTATTACGATCCCCACAGAACTCTCAGTGCGACAATCAACCGTTTTTGTACCCAGAGGACAGGACGATTGTGATTGTTCGTCACAACCTCGGCATTTAGATTGCGATAGAAAACCCCCGTAAACGCCACGTCCTGGTCAACTTGATGACCCGGACTTATTAGATACTTAGCAATTTCATGTTTGAACTTCATTCATGTCGCGCATTTTGTATGTAAACAACTTGTTAGTGGCAAAATGCCCAAGTAACATACAAGATAACAGTCATTAATTTTGGAATACGCTTGTCTTCCATTGTGAAGAACTAACTGCGTGATTTACCATAGTGGATCCATTCAAAGCATGTAGAGTCCAATCTGCTATGCGGACCACCTGTCTACAGCGACTACCTGTCTACAGCGACCACCTGTCCAAGGAGACCACTTTATGTCGGTCCCTGGAGTGGTCGCATTAGACAGGTTTGAATGTACTTGTTTGAAACATTACAGGACACATGCATATGCATTGTCACCGGTGCCGTTCCCGTCGTCGGCTCAGCAGAGTGAACGTATGACGAGTAGTTTACGCTGGGTTATTTGTATGAAACGAACTATATTACGGTACAGTGTAGTGAAAACCACAACTTGTCGGTCCCACCAACACCGTTCTATGTTTACACGAAAGTAATCTGTGTGTGACCGCGTGGTGCTTATAAATCGCGGTAGCTTTGACCGTAAATGCAGACTCCGGACGTTTATGTCTTAGAATAGGTTCACCTTACCCTACATTATCATCGGATATTAGTATGATAATAATGGATAAATAACAGCATTGATTCCTTGTTGAACAGTGCCACTGTACTCTTGTTGACGATAGTGTTTGAGGCGATACCAAGAACAAGCGGTGACGGCAGCGTATGGAACATTTTATTTTCCTCTTATAAACATGACAACACGGGTGCACTTTTCTGCCTCCGCTACTTGTAAAACAGGTTTCGTTGATATATATATATATATATATATATATATATATATATATATATATATATATATATATATATATATATGGTTGGCGGCATCCGGTTTCGGATTTGCCTGTCACTGTGGCCAGCCACATGATGCCTGGGCCTACAGAGGGACCATGGGTGGCTTGCGCTGCACCACCCACAACTTCAACCACACACCCCATATCCGGCGTAAACCCGAAGGAATAAGACCGGAAGGCATGTGGATGGGAGCCACGTTTCATCAACGGAGCCGACCCACACTCCTTCACAGGCAAACACAAGCACCCTGTATTTGGGAATCAACCGCGTACAAGGCGATGGCTTGACCTTAGTCCGCTCCACACTGAGTGCATGGAACCACTCTTCTAGCCTAACACGACCACAAGGACCGTGAACCCCGTCCCCTCCAGCAACCACCAACTGTCTCCTGGAACGAGTAGAGACGAGGTAGTGGGTAATAGACAGGTATACACCTTGTCACCACGCACATCAAGCGCAGCCAGATCAGGGTTATCAGGCAATAACCAATCACTTGAAATAACATTATCAAATAAAATACTATTGTTAAGGCAAACGACCATGCAGACAACACATTTCGTAAAATTAGCATATGAATTAACTTGGTTAGCAACAAATCGCCGATGTATATGTATATAGCTTTATATGGAATGTTGACCTTTTCAACGGAAAACCGCACCTGCAAACCTAGCTTTCTTTATGCCGTATTTTTTGTGAAATCACTTGGCGATATTTAGTAACAGGCTCTCAATTCACTTTGACCTGTAGAGCATAATGGTCATATTCACATGGCACAATCCGTCTATGAATTATTTCAAGATGGTTTCCAAAAGCATACAAACACCACTTTCCCATATCTTGGTTTTCACTTTCATTCGCCACCATATGCTCCATTATTGCACATACGCATATTGCGCAAGGAGTAGCATGGTTACTTTTGCACATAGTGATTACTTTCACTACAAGCCCGTTTTCTCAGCACTTGAGAAATACACATATTATTATTATAGGATGATTACTTGGTTGCGGTACACTTTCTACCCTTTTGTGTGTCCCAATTTGATCCTTCTAGCTTTCCTGCCTTCTCTTGGTGTGCCGGTCTCCAAAAAACCAACGGCTGCTCCGCCCTTCTTACTACCACCAACCGCCACAGTTCTGCTAGTCAACACCGCTTGTCTTCTCGTCGACGTGGCGAAGCCGGAAAATCACGAAGTCAGTCTTCCATCGTTCAAATTAGTTCCAAGTCTTCCAGGCCTTTACCGGCCCCTAAGCCCGGGCCTGTGGTCGTCGAGGTTATTCTGACCCGTGGGACCCGAAGTGGTTTGGGATTTAGCATTGCCGGTGGAGTGAACAATGAAGCGGTGGATGGAGATCCGGGAATTTTTATTACCAAGGTAAATACTCGCACTTGCGTACTACGCACGCGCAAATGACAATTCGTCCACGTTGGTGGACAGAAATGTGGCGTTTTGTTTACTTACTTTCTACAGTGATTTTTATGCATCAAACCTGGGCAGTTATAAATTTTCCTTTTGTCCATGGATGGAAACTTTAACCGTCCTTGTGCTCCAGCATCAAAGTCATGAAAATGTATTTATAGCCTCTGAGATCGCTGCTTTGAACCAGCGTCAGTACTCTTTTACTAAACACAGTATGCATGTCTGCGCAGTTACTGGCAAATCTCCGCAGTCAAAGCCGCGTTGCAAGAAACAAGAAGAAAAAATGTGCAATGCTTCGGTCAAACATGGCTAAAAACCCTACGTACGTAATTTGTTTCAGTCGGCGGAATTTGAGACTGGAAACTAATTAAAAGTCACAACGATATCAATGCTTCCAAATCCCTCCCCTTGTTATACTTTGTGGCAGGGTCTGCACCATCGTTTACTGACCGATCTTGCTTAATTCGAAAGAGTAATGTACAATGTATGGCGAGTAGATGTTTGAAATATCAGGAAGTTGTTTGCTCCGGTGGTTAAGGTAAATATACTTAGTGTCATGCACTGCCAAATTTGAAATGAGGGTGTGCTATTCAAGC